ATAATTATTTTATAGGTATGCTTGGAACACCTCAAGTTCAAAAGATCATCAACTATTTCCAAGGTCTTGTGGAAAATGGTATTGGATAATCACTATTTTTAATACAGTCCTCTTACACTTTATACTTGCACCAATAAAAATTGTTTACTTATTCAAAATACTATTTAAAATGGTGCTCATTAAAAATATGCTAACAAAAGCGAAACCTGTCAAGCTCCAATCACAAACATTGCATTATTAACTATAGTTTTGTGGACAAAATTTTTGTTTGCATTCTTAATAATTACTTATCAATCTGGAATTATATTTAACCTTTCCATTTTGTTTTTTTTCTTGTTTCTTATCTTGTACAAATTTTGTTTTTATAATTTTCACAACTTTTATTTGTTAATGGTTTTAGGAGCTTTTGACTGTTTTAAGCGAGATCAGTGTCGTCTTCTTCAACACATGCATGCCAACTCCTATGATGCACGCTTCAAGGATTTGATCCTCGCTATTCAGCTGGAGGTACCCATTACTGGCAGTTTGTTAATATAAGTGTGGAAAACAAAAGACCTTCGCAGATATCTGTAAACTATTGACAAAATCCTCTGTTACATCAATAGTGATGATTATTCAGGTTTAACCTTTGTCGAATTTAAAAAGGCCTTTGATGTGAGAAATCATGAACTTCTCATTAAGAAATCTATCAATTTATAGGTTCAGCCTCTTAACAGTAAAATGGTTTACAGGGTGTGCATTGTAGGTCATATCTTACAGGCAGGAAACAATAACAGCTGCTAACAGTGAGTTCCTCAAGAATCTATCATGGGCCCTATTTTTTTCCTCATTTTGTTAATGACATGTCTTGAGTACAATCTTAAATATGATTGTTACAGGTCGTGAATAATTAGGGCTAGGAGACAAAGGAAATTGAGAATCAACCCAGGTTAAAGAAAATTTAACCTGAATTTAATTTTGTCCTGTAACACATAAATGACTCTACACGTAACTCCAGTAATATTGTTTTGTTTGTTTGTTTGTTTGTTTTTGCAGGAAAGCCTTTTGTTGTACCAAATGGGAAATCTTGAAGGATGTAAACAATTGAGTGAAGATGTGTGCAACCAAGCAGTAAAGTTCAACTCGCCCAACTACAATGTCATTGCTGGAAAGGCCAAAAGTGTTTTATCCGGTGCTTACAAACAGGAAAGAGAGTTTACGAAGGCTGAAGAAGTCTTGGAATCCTCTACAGAGGTTGGTAAATACTCTGAACACTTTTATCACCTCATGTAAGGGAATCCAAGACAGTCCTGGATTCTGGATTCCATGCCACTGATTCCAGATTCCAGGTAGTGGATTCCAGTCTTTGTCAGTGGAGCTTGGATTCTGGATTCCAATAGCTAGAGGGATTCCCGATTCTTTGAGCTGTATTCGAGATTCCAAAACCAAGGATTCTGGGCTCCCCAAGCTAAATTTTCCGAGATTCCAGATTCCACAGGCCAAAATTTCCCGTTCCAGAATCCGGATTCCTTTACATTGGGCGACTTCTAAGTAATAATTATTATGAAGGGTTATTCCATTGAAAAGTAATGATCTGGAAATTTGAAAATTTGTCGTTTTGCAGCTGTTAGAGGCAGTTGTTCCCGGAGAAGAGACTGCTATTAACCGCACGTGTGTCGCTGCCCTGTTCTCTGAGAAAGCTGCTGTTGTGGGAATCACCAAATTGGAGAGAAAGAGAATGAAGAAAGCCATGAAAGCTGTTCTAATCCATTATGGGCACCAACTTGATCGAGGTCTGAACAGGAATGCTCGTAGTCCAAGGCGATCATTAATCAGATCAATTTTGTATTACCTTCATTCTACTAGAGAAAAAGCCTCTAATCTACAGATCCCAGTATCTGGTAAAGTCATGTCACTGGTGGAAACCTTCATTCGAAAATTCAGCACAGATTTTCTTGATGACTGCCCCATGAGAGACAAAGCACTGTTTTACAATGCCCTGGGAGACTTGCACGCCCGAAAAGGAGAGTATGAGCAAGGTGAGTCACCACTGTTATGTTAATTGTCACAATCTACGTAAAAAGTGAATAGAATCCGTTACTGGACTTTTTGCATCCCTCTTACCGGCAGTGGAACAAAGGCAAGTGAAATTGTTGTGTTCTTTATGTTATGTTTGTTTTAGTTAATCGATTCAAGATACTAAGGTTTTCGTCATACCGCAGTTCTGTTCCATACATGTTTGTTTTAACTTTTATGATATCAGGCTGGAGAATACCGTTTGTATACTGAGCACAGGCTTACTTCCCTAAAAAATAAGGGTTTCTTTGTATTGAAGTCGCACTGTAACTACAATGTATTAACTATTCGATCAGGATTGAAGCAGATTCTTTCATGTTCTTTGATTGTCTCTTACCCACTCTAACAACTGATTCTTGTTGTTTATATGTACCAGTAAATGCTATTTTTATTTAATAGGGATCGGAGTTGTAACCAATGCATTCAGAATTGCGCAGGAACTTCGGCTGAGGGAAGATTCTAGTGGCTCACGTAATCGACTGACGCAGCTGTGTTTTTTGAGCGGACGTATGTCTTTTGAAGTTCCTGTGGGAAGAATGGCGGGAAACCAGCCTTTCCAAGAACCGCGATATGAAATACTGGAAAGATATCTTGACGAGCTTAGACAAGTTTAAAGATCAAGGTAGTGATAGAAGGAATGGCCTTAGTTACCACTCTTAACCATGTCTCTCTAAAACAGACACCTGTTGGATCGAAAGTACGTGTCAGTAGGGAGTTTAAGACATCACGATAGCGACGTCAACGAGAACATCTCTGTAGGCGCATCACACTTTTTGATCCAGTACTGACATTTCTTTGCCTACAACTTGAAAGTTCCAAATGCGATGCTTTATGGGTGACGTGAAAATATGACAATTCTTTTTTCTCTTCCTTAGTTTGGCTACAGTCCTTAAGATTTCGTGTTTTGTAAAATTCTGGCCTTACATTTGGCAAATTGCGTGAGTTAAAACTTGTGGAATTTGAAAGAATACGAATTCAGTTTTAATATTATTTTGCTACAGCCGCCGTCGTGGTGCCTTAAATTCTGTAGTCTAAAAGAGGTGACCTCTTCATAGAGAGTATATAATATAAAATGGATGAAAAGCGGAAGGGACTAACCCTAGGCGTTCTTGTTATGGAGTCTACTATTGTATGGTAGTGTTTGTTTAGAAAGAGGTGACTGATGTTGCTTTCCTGCTATGTCAGAGATACTTCCTTGTTACTTGCTCCTTGTTATTTAGGCCACTTATTATTTCCTTCTAGAAGGGAGGTACAGTTGTAAAACAGAGTACTTGTCTCCTTTTAAACTGCGTGCTTCAAACAGTAACTTTTGTTTGTAGTGTTTTTTTTTGTTTTTTTTTAATGTATATTTTTTGTTTCAAATCAGAGAGCGAGTGAGAGGATTATAGCCTATGAACACTGAAGGTGAAAACAAAGGGGCTTTAAGAGAGCGTTTATAGTAAATCTTGTGGACTTTTATGGACAAAGACGATAAGCTAGCAAACTAAAGACATTCATTTGCACATCTCTACTCTTTCGCTCCCAACTAAACCAAATGAAAATTAGATAAAGTAATGAAAAAACAAACAGTTCAGTTATGTCGGAGGCGTTTTCTGTACTTGAATGGTTATACCAAGATTTTGTCGATGACTCTAAAGATTGGAAAAACCGCATTTCCATAAGTAATTAATGTTTCATCTCTTCATTGCAGCTCGATTTGTGAAACTGCCACCATGTTTATGGGATCTTAAAGTTCCCTCAAAAGCACCGGCTAAGAAAGGTCAATAAAGGGGACAAGCAATGACAATGTTGTACATACCGTATGGCGCTTTTATTTTTAAGAGACAGACGTTGTCATCATTGGATATATCACCGTCCAGAAACTTTGTAAAACAATAATTCTTATCTTTTTGCAGATATAATTATTCAAAGGCGTACATGTTTTAATGTACTGTTACTACTTATTATAAGTCTTTTAAATAGGATCTTATCCGTACAAGGAAGTATTCATATGCCGTGTACATCAATTAGAAGATGTGCTTTCAATTGAACGTTGTCGTAAAATGTACACTTCAAGACCACGCTCACCACTGAGGAATTCATTTTTCATAAAACGACAAAGGTAATCCTCTGTAACCTTCTTATACCATTTTGTGGCATTGACAAATGCAAAGTTACGAACGTACAATGAATTTACAACTACCAACAAGACCTTGTGGTCTTGCCGTGTAGGCCTAAGGCCTTAAAATGCAACAATGTTTATTGAAGTACCTTTATATGATGTATATGTGCGTGTTATCGCTACCAAGTAGCCCCATTTTTATGAAAAGATCTTTTTGAAAAAAACTTCTCAAATTCATGAGAAGACGAAGGATCTGCCTCGTGAGAATTAATTGTTCGGGTTAAATCATTGTCATAGGTCTTTACGGGGTTTTTTATGTTTGCAATACAAACTAAACTTCCAACTCTTGGGACCCTGTGCATCTCGCAACAATGATATTACTACTACTGTTTGTTTGTTGTTTTTTTTTACTATATACGCGTCTTTTCTTTCTAAATTTTTTACATGTTCATATGTTATTTTGCTCTACATTAACTGTTCCTTAAAAGTTATTCCACAAGTTTAAAGTAGATAACAATGTTTTTGTACATAATTCAAATGTACCAACCACTTGCAATGCTGAAACAAACGAACCCATTGTTACAAGAACCAATAATATATCAACTTCTGGGCCGGTTTGTTTAAAGCCGTGTTAAGATAACCCAGGATTAGTTCGAAATATGAATTCAGATATGAAAGTTTAAAAGGCAAATTCAGTTTTATTCGTTTTGTCCGCAAATTGATGATTGGATGCTCTAAAAGGAATGGAGAAAACTATCCTGGAAAATGTTTATGAACAAAAGAAAAAGAAACTTGAGTTAAAATTTAACCCTGGGTTAGCGCTAATCGGCCCTAGAACAACTGGGCCCTGGTTGTCACATTTATCAAATGTTGAAACATGTAGTATATAGTATATTATAGTCCTATATCACTCAAGGTACTTAATAAATAAGTTATTTTTTCTAGCATTCTTTGATAGAAGTTTCTACTAAAAGTAAGATATATTTGAAAGTAGATGTACGATTAACAAATTAAAGAGGAAAGAGTTAACAAAGTGACCCCGTTTCTATTCCTTGTGTTGTTTATGTTAGTGTAGTTCAAGTTACGATATCAAGCCTATGCTTAATAGACCGTTTTATATTTTCCGGCAGTTTCTTGTTATTGTAATGTAAAGTTTGTTCACAAAGAGCACTTAATTTTCGCGCGACTTGACGACAGCAGGGATAAGTCGAGAGAGAAGACCCCACATCTAAACAGAATTTTAATTCGATCAACTTTCCAAGCATTTCCAGCTTCTCCAAGAAATATCCCTTCTAAGCGTTATATAAAACGTTACAAACAACGAAAGTGAACTTTGAAAAACTCTTAGGGTAACAAGCTTTCAAAACCTACAATTGTCATCCGTTTATTAATTCTTTAAGTTCGAATTAATATTCTTTAACTTGGTCCATCAGTGCCTTATTTTTATTTGTCTTGTTTAGGATTGCCACGGTCAGGGAAAAACAAAAAGTTTTCAAGATCGGGGAAAAGTCGGAATTTTTTCATAAGTCTGGGAAATTTGTGATATTCTCAAAGTCAGGGAAATATATTTACCACGCGCACAAAATCCCGTGTAAAGCTTAAAGAGTAAAACCTGTTTGAAATTGAAGTCCGGAATATTGGTGGTCTACAAAAATAGCCGAAGCAAATGTAAATTTGGATTTTTTTTATTAGTAATGTAATGTCAGTGAAAATTGTTTACAGGTTAGTTTAAAATATCAGAGAAAAGTCAGGGAATTTTTAAGTTTCTGTTGAGTAGCAAGCCTGTTGTTATTATACCATCTTCTTTGTTTAAAGCGGTTATTTTTATGTTCCACACAATTTAGTGCTAGTCACTGTTTGAATTTTGTTTAATTTCGTGACACAGCTCCTTTAATGGTGTTGCTAAGCTTGGGTCTAACTTGTCTTATCCCCAACTAGAGGTCAACCACTTTCCATTTTTATGACTCCTTTTAGACAATTTACACATGCATTTACATAGCGTTCTTATCACAAGCACCGTGATCGTTATAAGTGTTAAAACAGATGCTCCATATGCAGTTTCGGTGAGTCCCAACAAGGACAGAGAGTTGTCTATGATGACCATGCACTTCTGATCGAGGGTTGGAACTACATCACAACCTCTGCGAGCTCTTTGGTACTGCAAGCCAAAATTGTTATCTATAAGTTTTTGTTTGTAACCGATAAAAACCTTACGTGAGATCATGGATGGGACGGTATCAAAATAAGTTTGACTTATCATTTATATCTTTCGTATGTTTTCTTATTGTATGATTATTCAACTTTTAAATTCCTTCTGAATATGTTTTTCAAACAGTTCCTCTCTACTCAGCAGAGGCCTCATTGTGTCGGAGGGAGGCTGGGGAGAGGGATAAAATGAAAGCGCGCGGAGGACGATGGGAAGGGGAAGGCGAGGAAGAGAGACCTTTTCCCTCTTCCCATCGTCCATCGTGCGGTTGCTGCTTTTTTTTTTTTTGGTTATTGCTATTTTAAATGTAATACCCAGTGGGAGCCTTTGCAGATCGAGGAGAGAGAAATAGTTCTCTCTTAAGCCTCAAGGCTAGTCACTACTCGCATTGCAGCCTTTTGGTGCGTTTTCGTTATTTGTATCCATGGTTATTCTACTCTTTTAAATTCCTAACGTTAATGACTTACAACCATTTTTTCAAGCTTTAAGGCCAACGCTACTTGCATTTCAACCTTGATGCGTGACAGTAACCAGAGCTCCAGTACAGAAAGCTGTTGACTGGATTGAATATGTTCACAGGCATGGATCGGAGGAGCCAGGCACTTAAGACCTCAAAGGCAAAGTCTCTACTGGTATCAGGTGTATCTGTTAGATGTTAACTGCCGAGGTGAATCGCGAAGTTTTAATTTCATGACTGCTCCACATTCCCTGTGTGGTAACTATGGGCTCACTAGAACCAACAGAACGGTTATCCCGAGACATGTGTATATGCCGAGAGGGTTGTAACTAGAATAGACACCTTAAAATCAGGTTGCACACCTTAATATTTTTAATTTATTACACATGACAACCCTGTGCTCCTCGTAGACAGTTTATGCAAATTTATTGGACCTATTTTTCAGAACACTGTGGAAATCAAAGCAAGAGACAGCTGTGCAAGGAAAAGAGTTGCATACAGGGTTTAGCGCCGAAGTATAGTGATTAGATCTTTCAAAAACGGTTAGCTTTCAGTAATGTAATGATCAATTCCCTGTTAAGTAACCGATGTCGGCAATTAAAGCCCTTGATGGTGTATTGCATACGGAGACATTTCAAGTCCTATATACTACCTTCCGTTTTCTTTCTTCTCTTATATAGTACTCTAAGTTATTCCTCCTATCATGTATTTGTAGTAATTAAAAGATGACAATCTGATTTTTTTTTTCGCGAGCGCTCGAGAACGAGCGCGGAGCGCAAGAAAGAAAGATAAAGAACGTCTTTAGGCATCTTTGGGAAAAAATAGGTTTATTAATTTCCTCCTCATGTCAACGCCTCATGATAATAACCTCCGCGTTTGCAGTACCAATTAAATTTGGACCAATGGTATTGGAGATATAAATTGCTTGTGTCATTGGGTTAAGTTTTTTTTTTAATTAGACGCCGATATGATGAGTCGTTGAGATGATGATGACAGGATAATCGCCCTTCAGCCAATGGTAATTTGCTTTTCTCGGGAAAAGCAAGTTTAAATTGCTTCCAAAGATGTCTACGGACGGTCTATCTTCTTCTTCCCCCACCACTACCCCCTCACTTGCGCTGGCGGTCAATAAATCCCGCGCGGTTTTTATTTTTATCACGCGCGCTCGACGGACTTTGAAGGGAAAATAGAGGGTCTGTGAACAGGCTAATCAAGGTTACGAAGTACGGCCGCCTATTACTGGTTTTCACATGACGTCATCAAAATTTAAAACTAAAGAGTTATCGATGCTCCTTGACCTAAGATTTTCCTTTCATGAAGGAGTAGAGTAGCTAAAATCAAATCTTCATAAAACTTTCTGCTTCGAAAGGGTGGTTGAACTAAGCTTTTGCGTGATGGGGCATTTACCTGACGGCTGAGAAAGATGTCATGTAGGTTAAAAAGTTACTTATTTGAGGGGGATTGGTATCTGAACAGTCATTGTAGTGGAAAAAAGTATAACTTTAATGTTTGATGAGTTCCTTGAGAGGATAAATTCACTCTTTCTCTTCGTAGCAAAATTCAGCGACAGATGTTTCTGTTGGTGTGCGGCGGCAATGTTGGTGTGCATCCAAATGGACACCAACATGGCATCTACATACTGCAAAGCTCTAAAACAAAAAAATCATTTCCCCAAATAATATATTGCATATGAAAAATTGCACTGGCCTGAATCTTGGCGAGCATCCTTGCATATTTACATCCTTTCATATCCCAGATTCTGGACTATTCAACAGTCTGGTCTATTGAACGGTTTTATTTATTTTTTTGATGGCGTGACAGTGAAAAATAGCAATTTAATTTTTGACAGGCGAAGCATAATATACTTACCTTGGATTATTAAGAACCAGATGAATTTTCTGGTAGATCTCGTCTTCTTCCATTTTCTTGATATCAATCCCCACTCCCATACCAACAACCTGAGCCTGAATACGGTTGCTAAACTGGTCAGCAAACAGTGGAGTGCACAACAGCGGTACACCGTAAAAAAGCGGACTCGTATAAGCTGCTGAGCCGGTATGAGATATGAACAGTTTTGTACTTTTGATAGGCCAAAATGTCCTTTTGTGGAATCCAGGTGAAGACTTTAACGTTGGAAGGTAGGTTTCTTGGAACGTGCTCTGAAATTGAAGTTATTAAGCAAGGAGACAGGCTAAGATCTATTTTGTAAAATTTTACTTGTTGTAGGCGAGGTTTTACTTTAATTTTGCACGATCGAACCAAATACCAGTTTATATTAGTGGGCAGAAACCTGACACATCGCTTTTGAAAGATAATAAGGCCAAGTCATCCACACTTTTTCGAAGCTAGCCTAAGTGCTTTGGGGATCTCGGAAATGGGCTATTTGAAATCAACTACGTGGCTCGACGCAAGGTATACCTGAAGATAGTGTTGTGCAGGCAGTCATTTTTCCTTTTTTAATAGTAATAATTTTAACTATTTGCTCTCCATGAAGTATGCTGTTCAACGGTAGCATATTCTGCAAAGACTAATGAAGAAAATTTGGTACTTCGGACTGAAATTTTCTCAGAGGTAACTATGCTATTCTAATTTCCTTACAGAGAACTATTAAAGGTCCGAAAAACTACATAGTAAAGGCGGCATTTGTGAGATCTCTCATAATTTTTGTTCCACTTACTTTTTAGTCTCCACACAACTCTCTGTTCCAGTCTCCCGAAAGCTGCTGCTAAATGTTCCACGTGATGTTTCAGCAAAATAGCGTCTCCAAGTGTTCCCAAAGAAAATATAACCACTCCTTTATCTCCTGCTCCAGTTTAGTTACAAAGATTTCAGTTCTAAGGGCAGCTTCTTTGGTGGCTGGATGGGCAAGGGTCTGACAAATTTTGTGTCTTGCAAATATAAACGTTGTATCACTCAAATTTTTAACCAAATCCTTCTCGATCCCTGCACTGACCCATAACAATTTGAGTTGATTTACAGTAACATAGCATGGATAGCAAGAAATTGGTCTTTATTTTTTCTAATACTGACTGGAAATATGGCAAACTTTTATCGCACATAAGGCCCAGTCCTCAATGCGCGCTCAGCTTGATCTGGCGCCTGAGGATAAGTCAGTCAGAGCAGTGCTTGAAGGACTCTGAAGTAATTTCGTACTAATACGAAAGGGTGAATGGGTACCGCA